GCTGAAGTAATAAAATATAAGGAATGCACTGGAAAATCTGTGGCTGAGTTGGATGGCATGACGATTAAGACCAATCAGCTGGAGGTTTGTCTGTTTTGATTTTTCTCATATGGGCAAAGGCAAATATATATCATCGGATGATAATATTTCTGAATTATTTCTCAGGAGACATGTTTGTCTCAGTGTGAACAAATAAAAAGATTGCAGCAACAACTTTCCTTTGCAGAGAAGAGAGTACAGGTGATAAACACATTTCTATGCTATATGGAGACCCTTCAAGATTGAATTTATTGTGTTCTATCTAACCTCAAGAGCTTAGCGAAGATGTGCCTCTCAAATATTTCAATTGTTTAATCACTTTGTTAGATGTCCGACATGTCTTCCGTGAAGACAAAAGAAGAATATGAAGAGCAGAAGAATGTCATTTTTGATTTGCAAAATCGTCTTGCTGATGCCGAAACAAAAATTGTGGAAGGGGAGAAACTACGTAAAAGACTGCACAATACTATTTTGGTAATTTATGTTAACTATTGTGCAACTATCTTAATTTGACTTTTGGATTTTAATTAGAGGTTCACTTTGAATCTTCTGCCAATACAGGAATTGAAAGGCAATATTAGAGTTTTCTGCAGGGTGAGGCCGTTACTGTCTGATGACACTGTCAATGCAGCAGGGAAGGTTATCTCTTTTCCAACATCAACGGAAGCACAAGGAAGAGGCATCGATTTGACACAAAATGGTGTGCACTTGTTTGTGTAATGCATTCAACCAGAAGGAATTTGTATTTCCCTTTTCATTTTTGTTTTATTTCGATATTGACCTTTGACATTTGTGTTGTTTTAAGGACAAAAGCTTTCATTCACATTTGACAAAGTTTTCATGCCCGAGGCCTCACAAGAAGATGTTTTTGTTGAGATCTCCCAACTTGTACAGAGTGCTCTTGACGGTTATAAGGTGAGATATCCTTAAATCTTTTGCACTACTGCAAATTATGTCTTAACTCTTGCCAAAGAATCAATACTCCGTACCATTCTATGTTATGTTTTCCTTAGAGGTTTCTGGTAAACTGATGTTACTTTTGAACAATTAACATTGGTTAATATCTTCAACTGTTTTAAATCATTTAAGGAAGCGAAAGCGAATGTTCATCAGCAGCCTCTCAAAAATTATTATTTCATTACCCTTCTTTTACTTCTCAGGTTTGCATATTTGCTTACGGTCAAACTGGTTCTGGTAAGACTCATACAATGGTAGGTAAGCCAGACTCTGATAATCAGAAAGGGCTTATACCGCGCTCTTTAGAGCAGGTATTTGAGACCAAGCAGTCTCTTCAAAACCAAGGGTGGAGTTATAAAATGCAGGTTAGCAATGAAGTTTGTCGTGATCGATTGGCTCTATTTGATTTGTTTCTATTCTCTGAAAGTGTTTTCACCATATTTCAGGTCTCAATGCTTGAAATTTACAATGAAACAATTCGGGATCTTTTATCACCATCAAATTCGTCTGGTTTTGATGCATCCCGACCAGAAAATGGAGGAAAGCAGTATGCAATCAAACATGACGCGAATGGCAATACTCATGTATCTGACCTGACAATTGTGGATGTTCATTGCTATAGTCAGGTCTCTAAACTTTTTGGGCTGGCAGCAGAAAGCAGGTATTAACACCTGGTTATTTTCTCATCAATCTTTTAAGCAAATTTTTATGTCATCAGCCTTTACATAAGTAGGCTTCATATTTCTTCTTGATATCTGTAATTTACTGTTGAAACACTTCTTTTGCTACTTGGTACCTTTGATATGCGTTAATTCATATTTTAAATATAGTAGCGGATCCGGTTTTCCTATATTTGAATGAAATAGATTTGAATCTGTGATACCTGTGTTTTATCAAGTTATTTTTCTTTTTCGTCTTTGTGCAGATCTGTTGGGAAAACTCATATGAACCAACAGTCTTCAAGGAGCCATTTTGTCTTCACTCTGAGAATTTCGGGTGTGAATGAGGTTTGGACTGGCTAGACATTTAGCACGCCATTTTGATTGCTTCTTTTTATAAGCATATTTTCAGTTGACTAATAGTAGCCTATGTTAGAATACCGAGCAACAAGTACAAGGTGTACTCAACTTGATTGATCTTGCTGGAAGTGAGCGTCTATCCAAGAGTGGGTCTACTGGAGACCGGCTAAAAGAAACTCAGGTATAAGCATGAAACTCCTAATATCTTTTTAAAGAACTTGCCTATTTTCCAAGATGTTTCTTGCTACTTATTTCTCTGTTTTCCATGAGCTGCATTCAGGCCATCAACAAGAGTCTATCGTCTCTAAGTGATGTCATATTTGCTTTAGCAAAGAAAGAGGAGCATGTACCTTTTAGGAACTCAAAGCTTACATACCTTCTCCAGGTAAAAACAAGTCAGCTCCTAGTTAAAATACAACATGGTTCTGGGTGTAATTTATTTGAGTCATAAGGCGTTTCCACAACTAAACTAGTAGAGATAATAAAACACTTCCAGTATAAAGGTAGTCCTTATAGGACTGATCTATATATTCCCAATGTCATTTTAACAGTTGTGAAATGTGTCCATTATATTCACATTTTCCGCACCCCCTTATCTGTGCTGATTTATTGTCTTTCCACATCTAATGATTTTGGCATGTTTTATTCAGCCCTGTCTAGGTGGTAATTCAAAGACATTAATGTTTGTTAATGTTTCGCCGGATCCTTCTTCAGTGGGTGAATCCCTGTGTTCACTCCGATTTGCAGCACGGGTTAATGCATGCGAGATTGGGATCCCAAGGCGTCAAACTAGCTTGCGTCTCCCATCAGATTCTCGCTTAAGCTTTGGCTAACTTTTTGGCAGAACTCTCGTTCTAGCTTTTAGAATTGGTTGTCTGTAATTCTTTGTGTGGCAGTTCGATTTTTAAATACCTCTAACAGCAATCCACCTCTAATTTGTATAGTGGTGAAAATAGTCTCTGCATCAGTAATAGCATGGGGCTTTTCCTTTCAGCCATATCTGTATTTACAAGGTTTTCTCCTTCTGTATTAATACTTGATTTATCACTTTACCTCCTCCTTGTACCACTTTATTGGAGAGATTTTTTGGTTGGAAATCTTAAAAAATGTGAAATAAATTACTTGAAGTATCCATAGTTGTTGCTCTCCAGGTTTCAAGTTAATTGTATTTTATTTGCACTTTAACTTTTTTGGATTTAACTTCATGGATGGTCATAATATCCACAGGTATCTTGCATAAATAATATTACTAGAAAATATTTCCGATAAAACATCTTCCCACTTTGCCTGAGTTCAGTTGATATTCCGTAAAACATGAAGGATTAGCCGATTAGGTAAAGTAACAAAAACATTAAACTTGGCTCCTTTACTCCCTTTCTTAGCTAATACGTCTGCAACTGAGTTAGTTACTCTATAATTATGCAACGATTAATAAATTGCAAAACGTGTTGTATATGCGGAATTTTGTGGTATATTACAAATCCAATTGAATCTAAAATATTGAATGTGGATTTGAAGGAGAGAGAACGCAACCCAATTATTATTTTTTTTACTCCAAGTGAACATTTGTTTGTGACATTGGGAATAAAGTTAGATTTGGACTGCAAAAAAGAAAAAAAAAAGAATTTTAGTTAGCGTTTGGCCATAGATTCCTAAAATTTGTTTTGAAAAATCTATTTTTGAAGTTTTGTTTGAAGATGAAAATGTGTTTGGACATCAGTTTTCAAAACATATGTCAATTTTTTTTTTAAACATGACTGATACCCACAAGTTTTAAAAACTATCACAAATACCCAACAATAGGGATATACATGAACCGGATTGGTTCGGATTTTATCAAAACCAAACCAAACCAATTATATCGGTTTGGATTGGTTCGGTTTTGTCGGATTTTTAGGGTTTTTCGGGTATTTTTTTTTACATTAATATTATTTTAATCTTCCATTATTAAAGTTATAGATAAAATTTTGATAAGTGAATATATGTTTACTAAAAATTAAAAAATAATAACAAACATATGATCTATTAAAGTGATCTTATGGGAGAATCTTTTTTAGTAACACATAATAGTTTATTTTCTTAGTCGTCTACCAATAATTTTTGGTTGATATGTACGCTTTCAGGGTTAACCAAATTTAATAATTAAACATAAAAATCAATATGATACCTAAATAATGATATGTTCTATGTAATTTTAGATTATCGAAATACCACTTCAAATTCGAAAAACATACAATAAATCTTGACATATGAATATGAAAGAAGAAAGAGATGATTGGCTTCAATAACACATAATAAGAAAGTAATACAATCTATTATTTAAAGTAAATACAAATGAATGCACTTTATAGTTCTATTAAATATTATATTCCATGAGAGGATCTCAAATATTTCTAGACATCTTTTAAATAAAATTCTATTAAAGTTTTAAAATTATATATTTATATGTCGGTTTGGTTCGGGTTTTAATAACTCAATACCAAACCAAATCAAACCAAACCTAGTCGGGGTTTTTAATCGGTTTGGTTTTACTTTTCGGTTTGGTGCGGTTTTCGGTTCGGTTTGTACACCCCTACACATCAGTACTTTCATCAATAACATTCATTCTATTATCACCAACCATAGTCCTGAACATAAATAAATTTGGTACAAAAATTATCATTTTTATAAAGAACTACATAATACACTATCAGATGACCGAGAAGACGAAACAGTATTGTTACAAAATAATAAATGGCGGGCTCTTTTATAAAATACAAAAGTTTGGGGCAATTTTTAAAAAATATAGTAGTAATATTTTGGGCCAAGAGCTGGTTTTGGGAATTTACCAAAATATGAAAAAAATTTATGAACAAACATGTATTTGCCAAAATAAACCCAAATAATTTTTGGCAAAATCTATTGCCAAACGGCTCTTAGAGTTGACGTTGTAGTTCGAATGTGCATTTAAATTTCAATTAAAATTTTCTCTCGCAAATCTTCAATATTCACAATTTGTTTTTCTCTCAAAAAATTAGAACTATTCATACACAAAAGCTTTATCTATACTGCCTTATCCAGATGAACACATGTTCCCGGAGTTGTAACAATTTCTTTCCCTTTGACAAGAATTCACTTCAAATGTCTTCCAATCTTCTTAAATCACATGCACAAGCCATCCAAATCTCCCACCCTTTGTTCCATTTCAAACTGCCAACCTCAACTTCCTTATACTCTGTAGGATCAACACAACAACTTAACAATCTTTATCTGTCTGTCTCTTTCACAACACCCCTGCACTTAACCAAGTTCAAATCACCTCTTCAGTGTTCAGTCTCTTCTCCTACCCCACCAACTACGAAAGAAGATGCCATTTCTCAAGCAAAGTTGTCTCTTTTAACTACTTTAGAGAAACCCCTTAACAATCCTAAGCTCGTTGGAAGACTCAAGAAACTCAAACAACCAAGATTTCGTGTTGAAATTCCAGTTGTTGATGACTCCTCATCTGCACTATCTCAGCTTGCTCTTGATATTTTTGCAAACGTGCCCATTAAAAGAAAAGGCCCAAAAATCAAGATTCTGCTTTTATGGCCTAACCAAAGCTTAACTCAAGCTGCACAAAAAGCCTTTGAGAGTAAGTCTTCAAACCCCATTATTGAAAATTTTGATATTTCATTAATAACAGATGATGTGGATATCAGAATGGTGAGTTCTGGAGATGTGGTTGTGTTTATGGCTCCAGAGGCTTCAAGATTAAGTGTAATGGAGGCTATTGCTGATGCATTGTATCCAAAGCCTGTAGTGATTTTCAATCCCAAATGGGGGTTTGATGAAGAGAGTAGCTTTGGTGAGTTGAGTGGATTTGTGGGTTCATTTGAGGTTGTGTATTCATTTATGGGATTAGAGGTTAAAGGAATATTGAATAAGAGAAATGGTGTGATGTTTAAGTGTGTTAGAAATGGGGTTTTGAGTGGTGAGAAATGGTATGTCTTTGTTGAAGAAGATGGAGAATTGAAGGTGGTTTCGAGGTTTAAAACAAGGCCATCAATTGAGGAAGTTGAGAATGTTTTGTATAACTTGATGGCGATGAATTCACCAATCACAAAGTCAGCAAAGTTCTTGAAAGATTTGGTGTCAAATGTAAGGGGACAAAAGTAAAGCACAATAATTCAACTTTGTGTAGTTTTCATTAGAACTCTTTTGGTGAAAAAGGTGACTCTAATTTTTAGAACAACAGTGTCTCTCTTGATCCTTTACAACGATATTACTGTTTTGCTACCTGTTTCCTTTTCTGTCTTCCCAATAATTACAGTATTATTCCTCTAAGATGTCCATACTAGCTTTGCCAGGTTTTAGTGGATGTTACAACTTATACTCTGCTGCAATTTCACTCTCTCCACTCCCTCATCCTTACTTAAAAAGGGACAAAAATGAAAATAAAGGGAAGAAAGAACGAATTTTATGTCTCTCTGCAACTATGGGAGTAGAACTATTGTCTTCACAAACTAGGGCAAGTAGGCATTGACATATGTACTGTTATTGCAAGGAGGTGGAAGCTATGTATCCGCCATCTTTTGCTAGTATGGTAATTTGATCTCCTTCCTCATAATTTTGCATGATATATCCAAAAAGGTGAAAAACACATTTAGCACCATCTCAAGGATGAATCACTTACGTTATCTGTGTAAGCATTCTTTGGTGAAATTCCATCATATGTTGCATAATTCTAAAACCTACCGACTAAAACAAATCAGAGAACCAGAAACTCCTGTAGTCATGAAAAGTTCCAGAATGTCAAGTGGTGCTGTTGCCAATTTACCATATCTCATTAAGAATTGGAAATCTTCTGGTCGTTTGAACTCTCTTCAGACTTATGTTCTCTCATTTACAAGCAACACAGCAACATACTCTGTTGCAGGTAATCTAGAGATGCTCTAATATGACAGCTTTTGATAATTTTCAGAGAAGTTAACATATTTGCACGTGCAATCCTTGTGTTTTCTGAAGGGGACCCTTGGTGTAACTGGTAAAGTTGCTGCCATGCGATAAGGAGGTCACGGGTTCGAGCCGTGGAAACAGCCTCTTGCAAAAATGCAAGGTAAGACTGCGTACGATAGATCCTTGTGGTCCGGCCCTTCCTTGGACCCCGTGCATAGCGGGAGCTTAGTGCACCAGACTGTCATTTTAATGCTTCTGTTTTCTGGTAACATAGTCCTAGCACGTGCCAAAACGGCTCGATGAAATGGACACGGCCATGAAGATGAAGTGCAATTAGACAAGGAGGTAATGTCCCTAGCTGCCACAAACTTAAGTCTGATTTCAAGTTCTGCATAGGTAAAGAAAAACTTCATCACCGAATATTCCAATAAGGACTATCAAGCAGTTTCTAAAGCTATGTTGGTTTATAAAATCTGGCTTTGTCTAAACAAAACCTTAAGATTGTTTACAATTTTTTGGGTATGAAGGTGTGAAGGTCGAGAATCAAGGAAGACAACTAGTAGGTAGTCGAGAGTATTAGTGTTAGTCTTGTATTCTGTTATTGTTAGATTTTTTAGTATTACTTGTTGTTCCTTTCGTTTCGTTTTCTTACTATCTTATTGTTGTTATTGCTTGGTGCTATTGCTTTTCTTCTCGTCTTTCGTGAGCCGAGGGTCTATTGGAAATAACCTCCCACCCTTCAAGGTGGGGATAAGGTTTGCGTACACACTACCATCCCCAGCCCCCACTTGTAGGATTACACTGAGTTTGTTGTTGTTGCAATTTGTCGAAGTGACGGATCATTTTGGCTAACTCGCAGTTTAAGACTTCAGGCTAGAAGTGGTATGTTTGACTTATAGTTGTTTTCCTCCATGCTTCTAGATTTAGCAATGTTGATGCTGTAGGCCCATGCATCTCACTAAATCAAAGTTCTTTGCTATGAGGGAATGAGAAAAATCCAAATCGATTTTGAATCACTTTGAAGTTACAAATTGTCTTCTCCCATGCACATCTCCATAGCTCCATTCGCCTTTTCATTCATGTGGATGTCCCACATAGGCGAAAAATGATTTTGAACTATGATGCCGTCATCCAGCAAAACAACCTTATCAAGACTGGGTTACACTTTAAAGATATTCATACTTAGTAGAAATATTTAGGTTGAGCAGGGAGATGTGCTCATCCAGCTCTTTGAGAAGTTGAGTTTTGTTCTAGATAAGTTGAGCAATGTTTTAATTTCCAGATGGCTACAACACAAAGAGCTAGAAAGGTATTGTTTGGCACCTGTCAATTTAGACACAAAAAGTGCTTTGATATTGATGGGTGAAAGACGAGAGCAATCAAATAAGGCAACAAGTTTTAAGACTGGTTCTACTATTTACAGCTTCATAGTTTATTATTTACAATGTCAAATTACTCACAATTTGAGCATCACAGTCAAGGACCCTCATACCTCTTACTTTACGTATTCACCAACAAAATACTAACACTTCCAGGAGCCTTCCACATAAATAATTGGAGGAAAGCCTGAAAAAATAACCATATTATCACTAATTAACCATATAAATGTAGAAATTCTAACTCTTAAATAAATGAATAGACAAAACAAATGAAGTGAATTCAGAAGATGTTATTCATAGAAATATTTGACTCATCAGAAATGAACAAAAAGAGAACAGAAGTTATCAGCATGCCGATCTATCTTCCAGAGTTCAAGCTGTTGCTACTGCACTCCTCTCACAAAAGAATGAGAGAACAGAATGAATCTCTGGAGCAGATATTGGAGCCACTACAAGCAAGCCTTAAACAAAGATCATAACATTAAAACCCCTTTGACCGACTAAATGGTGGCAGAGCAGAGCCATGTCACATATAAGCAGAGATAAGTGCAAAAACAACAACAACAACAACCCAGTATAATCCCACTAATGGGGTCTGGGGAGATAGTTTGTACGCAGACCTTACCCCTACCCTAGGGTAGAGAAGCTATTTTCGATAGACCCTCGGCTCCCTCCCTCCAATATAGCAGTTCAAATAAAACACTTATTCAAACCAAAGAAGCCACGAAAAAATTGTGCCAAGCAAAAAAGTGTCATAACATTACTCAGTTATAGCACAAAGCTGATCAGAAAAAACAAAAGCAAAAACCGGGTTGCAGGGCATTACCTTCAGTTTCAATTAGACTCGCCAACTTCATCTTTGAAATGATTCTCCGTTTTGTACAAAGTAGTTTTGCGATTTACAAACTTTGATTTGTCTGCATCATGGTGCTCCTTGTGTTATTGACAAAATCTAGGCGAGTGGTTGCTTCAGGGCTGTCACTACTATTTATAAAGTCTCTACTTATATGACTTGTCATCCGAAGACTATTGCACGCGGTTTCTCTGCAATGGTTAAGTTCAATGCTGGATCCATCACTAGAGGCACAACCACTATTTAATGTAAGCTTGCTGTTTTCAGAGATCTCCGGCCTTCGAGATAACTTTTGGCCATTGTCGCTATGAACATGAAGCCTAATTTATACATTAAACAAAAAAAGAACCTCAACTTTAGATAGTGAATTTGTGTATCTACTAAAATAGATCCCTTTGAAGGAACCATCACACAAACCCAAATTTGATGGATTACTTTCCGCACAAAGGAGAATGCATCTATACGTTAAGTCAAGAAAGAATTTTGATTACCTCCCTTGTTGGGTCTTGGAAGCTTGAAGGTGATTAAAAACTGGAACTAAATGTTTTGACCTCGCCTCAACCATATGGGTTGGAATTACTTCAACCTCAGCCTCTCCACCACAACCATCAACTACATAAATCCTATCCATATCCAATGATTGAAAATATACCTGGACATAAAATAAATAAAAAGATAATGGAGATTTCAGCAATTACACAAGGATGGAAGCAAGATTTGCTGGATAAAGATCATGGTACCATACAACGATTAAAGTACCTCAGGTTTTGCCCACAGCGGATTTCGAGGTTTATGCATTTGAAGCTCTGCTTCAGATATGTATATGTGATGTTTTTCCTCTGAACTTATCTTTCCTTTAGTGATTGTGTCCCTAGTCTTGGAATAGAGACCACTTCCCTTTGTTATTCCTTCAGGAAATACTTTACTGCTATCAGAACTTCCAAACTCACCATATATATCAGTATTATCATCTCGTTCTTTGCAATTTTGTTTCTGGAAAATATTCCACTTTTGGATTGCCTTTACCACTAATCTTGTATCCACTTCAGGACCTGCTCCGTAAGTTGAACCAATAGCAGGAATAGTTGGTATGAAATCTAACTCAGAACACATACGCAATGCATATTGTGTCATACACCCCGGAGATGAAAACACAAGCAGGTGATAATTTGCTTTTAGAAGGCCTAAATCTGCACATTGATTAGTACTTTTGCAGTGGCGAAAAGCTGAAGTTATGGACCCAGAAAAAGAACTCGTCCATCCAGTTGCAGCAGCTGCAGCACCATTTACAGTATTTCTCCAACCATTACTTCCACTCCTTATTCGACCAACAACAGAAAGGGTCGCTGGAGGGCCAGTCTCACCGATGTTCTGTTGATTAAGCACCTGAATTTTTGAATTCGAGGCGCAATGTACTGCAAGTTTTTCCATCACACCAGAGCCATTACTCCTCGTAGTAAGACATGCATCTGAAGATCGAAAATCAACTGTTTCCCCTGAAGCAGAAATTGTAAATAAATGGCTAGTCCCTCTGGAAGAACTTATCATAATCCACTGGCTATCACTACTAAAACTTATGTCCTGTATGGCCTGAGATGTCCAAAACGATAAATTAGTTGACAACAAAATTAAACAGGAAGAGAATGCAGATGCACTACACCTACCGCATTAGTCAGTCCACGCTGCAGCCTGTAAAGATGGACATAAGATGAACCAGGATCACTAGCCGAGGTATTTTCAGATAGTATAGGCATTATCCGGAATACATTGATATTATGACCCTGAACTGAAGCTGTCACCAGAAGAGTACTGCTAGGATCAAAGCAAAGAGCTGAAATAGGACTCTTATGTGCCCTAAACTGAGCAATAAGAGCTTTGCTGACGATGTCTCTGACTATGACCTAAGATGCACAAAGTGTATGACGTTAACATAGAGGTCCAACATTGATCCACGACGGCGTATTGCATAAAGCACCAAATGCCAATCACTCCCCAACATCCAAACATAATTAAGAGAAAGGAGGAGCAACAATTATACACATACAATCCATAAAGCAATAACCACAATATAAGAGTCCATTATGATGATTAAAGAAACTTATTGCAAAATCAACAGAACATAAAAATCAGTCTAGAGCTATTTTTACAGTAATCAACTCAAATGAGGAAGAGAGCAAAAATTATTCTATCCACAACAAGGAGCAGAGATAGAAACAAGTGATTGAAATGGCAATGAAGACATAATTTAAACCACCATTCCACAGTGAGATAATTTGTACCATTCCAACACTGCCTGCACCTGGGAAATGACCATTAGCAATCCCTGGTATCTTCGCACGAGCATTCCCGGATTGAGAACTATTACCATCTGGTGACAGGTCAGAATAGTACCTAGCGAGCTTCTTATACCCGACGTCTCCTAGAGTCGCAATACCAGCAGCAAGTTGCTTGCTGGATTCCTTTGCATAATGAGCAATAACGCTCCCATTTGTAGCCGGACTGGAGAGACTATCTGAAGGAGTAACGTGTTGCGGATTGACATGACCAGAATTTGAGATTGTAACTGGACTTCCACTATAGGCCATCCACCTGGGACCTAATGCGAGAGGTCCCACACCTACACTTCGGGACCCTGAAAAACCCGTGATGACAGGATTGGTAACAACAGTATATTCCCTATCTAGAGTTGCAGCATCAAAGCAGTGTATCTGCAATAGAAGCAACTTAACACATGTCTAGCAAGAAAAGATTAACCAAACGTTTGTAATATCATGCACATACCTGAGCTGCTTGTAAGATTGCAATCACTCGAGAGCTACATCTTACCAAGTGAACAACTGATCTGAACTTCAACTGATGCACATAAGAGTGAGATGTCAGGGAATAAAACCAAACAGCAGTGGGCACAAAACCGATACTTTCTTGGTCATGATACTGTTGGATGGTTCCATCATGAAGTTTCCCTATGCCCTCCCGAATGTTACTACCTCCAGAAAATGACGCATCAGCACAAAGTATCAAAACTGGGGGACTACCAGAAAATTTGTCCTCGTGCTTCTTTGATGCTATTGGTTTTGGTAATATTTGCATGAAAGAAACAGGGCCATCTTGCCTGGAAACTAAGTTGTGTACATTATCAGAATCTTCAACATCCCAAACCTGAAAACCATACCGACAGCCCAAAAGCAAAATTTGACGAGTGGCGCCTCCCTCACATTCCAGCTTGTCAAATCCAGCCCACAGAACCTGATGTGGTAGAAAAATATGAGAGTGCATAATTCTCATTGGGAATTGCGGTAAAAGATTCCAATGAATAGCAATGGGACAACCACCACCTCTTAGCACTACAAGTAAGTATTTGAACTGATATTATCAATATTGCTGATCAGCAAAAAAAAAAATGTTCAACATTCTATAATATATTTTTGATCCATGATACAGCCAAATTTTTGTTTGCTAGCTTTCAGTAGTAAGCTTTTCTCAGAAAAGGAGAATAATTTCTTAATGATGGGGAGAAACACCCCGTATACAAGTCGTATACTGAGAAACTTTCAGTATTAAGCTTCTCAAGGATGATAACCTAGGAATTTCTATGGCCTCTAAATTTGATCCACAATATATTGGAACTACATTTCAAAATCTGACTACCCTAAATGCAGAATCACAATTACATTAACTCCTTGACTGGTGAAGGCATCGTGCCTGATCTACAACCACTACAGCACTGATGGAGGGAACACTTAGTAATCTTTTCAATCCCAAAATAGAACAGCCGATAGTCATAAATTAGTCTTCTCTTCCCAAGGTTAGCACTCATCACCAGTGAGGATTACTCCAAGGGGCCGCACACTAACAATGACGCTGCTAAGAGTCAAAGTAGCCATTACTGACAACTACTCCATCAAACTTCATAAAAGAATTTCATCTTGAAATCCATAAAACTGCATTAACTAGCACCATTCAGCATCAAAATTTCATGCAACACCTATGATCCAGCTATAACGGGATCAAAAGTTTAGCAAGCAAAGTTCCAGCCTTTTGCTAAAATACAAGCTATATACCATGATATTTAACTAATTCAAAGTAATTTTGGAAAGAGATACAACAACAACGGCTATATGAATCCTCAATAATCATGTTTCCCATTTAAATTCATCTCGGACCAACATTATACAAAATAAAAATGATAAGTACATAAAATAAAAAATGAAAAGTACGAGGGGGCGGGGAATGAAATTAAATTATTTTTAAAAAAAGAACACGGGAAATTGCACCTGATCATGGGTAGAATCATTGTCCCTGTCCACAATAGCAGAAGCAGCTGACCTAACTGTGGAAGCAACCGTTGCAGCACCAGAGGATACAATCCTCGAAAGTGCTCTAAACGAAGTCGGAATGAAGCCGTTACTACTCTTCCCTGACTTTGCTCCTTCCATTTGACCATCACTGTTCTTCAGCCCCATGCCCCCCAAAACACAAAAGAGAATACAGTAATCAAAAAACACCCCTTTGCGTCTTCAATCCTCTCTTTTCTACTATAGCCAAAACATGTTTACGATAAAACCACAAATGAAATTTTTAACTTCTAAATTACAACAACTTTATCAAAAATTTCTGTGTTGTATGTATTCTGATAAAATTATACCACTCTAGTAAATGTTCATAAGGAATAAAAAAAAACCCGAGAAGTATTATACAAATTTGAATTAAAGAGTATATGATTATTAGTTCAATTGAATCGTCAGGGCTTCAAGTCTTGGACACAAAGAAAGAGAGATGTTTTAAATACGAAATTGAAGGGATCGGATAACGAAGAGATGTGAGTAAAGAAAGTAGTAATAAATACTATTGGAGGCTTTTTTTCTTCTTCTTTTCATTGTCTATTTGTCTCTCTCGGAATCCTCTTCTATTCTTGTCTTTTTTTCAAAGCAGAAACTTGAAAGTTGAAAGCGTGACAAAGTGGAAATTCTACAGAAGAAATCTCCCTTCCCACGTCTGCATTTGTCCCTCTCCAATTCTCATGTGCAGTCAAAGCTGCTTTCACCGAAAAATAATATAATTTTGAAACCAAGTTAAAGAAGATAAATAAATAATACAGCTCAATAGTAGAACAGCAGAAATCTCCCTCCATTTTTCCCGGAAAAAGATTCGCTAATGAAGAGATCATACAATACTGTTAGTATAAGCTGTTCCGCTCAACTACCAATTAAATTGTTTCATCTCTTTATTAATTATGAAAAAGAAAAATAAACTATGTGAAAAGAATAGGAATGTTATAAATATATTTTATTATGGATGTCCATTTAGTATTCCGTTGTAAATAAGCTTCCTTAAAAAGCTTATCCATATGAGATTCTGCCGTATATATGTTTATCTATTTAATACTCTATTGGAAATAAGCCTCCTAACGAAGATTATCTTTTTGGTACTCCGTTATGGATAAATATTACCCTGTACTTGTACAATGAGCTTATCCTTTCGGTACTCTGTTATGGATAAATATTATCCCCGGTAGAAGATTATCTATATCGGGTACAATAGTAGCTTACAAGCAGTTTATACAGCACCTTGCAGTAGCAGCTTACACAACAGCTTGTAGTAGCAGCTTGCAGTAGCAACTTACACAACAATTTTCTTTCTTCTATAAATAGAGGAGATTTCAGTTCATTATGTAGATGAGGTTGAAGTTGAATAAAAATATCAATCTCTTTCTATATTTGTTTTCGATTTATTTACTTTACAGTTTTTATTTTATAACACGTTATCAGCACGAGACTCTGCCATTTTGAGCACTTACTTCGAATTTAATTTCTATTTCAGTGTTCATCTCCGATGTAAGGCGATACTTTTATGTCCGTGGTTAGATCTTGTTCATTCCGAGTATCATAAGGCAGATTATATCCTTGAGGTGGTGAGTTTTTCTTCTTGGCAGTAGTGATGTAAATATCACTTACATCTGGAGTGGCCAAATTTGCATAATTTAATTTGAGCCTTTTGCTTATATTTTAATATCTTTATCATCGCTTGCTTTGTTATATGTTACATATACAATACCTATTTTGGTATTTGTTTTCATCCTAATTATCTTAATAAAGGATTACAAAGTGGATAATATTGTTAGATCCACTTAAACTCCAGCAGAGTTTGCAAGAAATATACATCCACCATAAGTGGTTATGTTTCGTATATCTCATTGTAACTAAATTTTGTTAACCACCAGAAGTGGTATATGCCTATGACCACCAGAAGTGATAATTTAGGCTTTCTACAATTACAATTAAAGATAAGCTAGAGAAATATTTTCTATATTACATGCACGCCTTGATTTGCTCCTGAAGTAGTAAATATTTTAAAAGAGGTTGAAGCATCACAATTTGATGTGATTAATGCGTGTTCAGATAATTATGTTCGATTTTCTGAAGGATGAGAATTTTTGATAAATATTAATCCATTCCCTGAAGTGAATGTGATAATATTAATAAAGCCATAAATATAAACGCGCTCTTGAAGTAAATATATTACAATTCACCTCCATAAGAGTTAATATAATTAAGAGAATATATACTTAATATTTTATATTTTAAATTTGCTCTTGAAGAAGTAACACAATTGAAATTTCCTCATGAAGTAGGAAAATATTAGGAAGAGGTGTTTTCTTATGCTTAAACAATTGTTTTATATTGTTTATCTGATTATGATTTTCTCTCATGATACCAGAAGTGTCTGAGCAATATTTGATAGTACAAAATGCATCAACAACTCCTGAAAAGCTAACTGTTTGTCTATAAGACACATGACACCAATAGTGTCTGATAAATATTAGATTGTGGATAATAAATGAAGGCTCTCGAAGAGCTTATATATAAATATGTCATTCACATTATATGATTATGGTCAAAACATATGTTGTAGTAAACCTGAAGTTTACTAATACAAATGGTTATCATATTGAGACTATAAATGACTAGAAGATTGAAAATCTTCATGTTTCCACAATCATAGGGGTAAAATAATATGTATATGACAAATGGCCTGCCTTATTCTTCAATTTGTACTATATCATGTATCACAATAAACCAGAAGTTTACTAATGCAAAAGCAGTTACAGTAAATCAGAAGTTTTACTGAGGCAAAAGTAGCTACAGTAAATCAGAAATTCGCTGATACAAAAGTAGCCACAGTAAATCAGAAGTTTACTAATACAAAAGTTTATGTCATAGTAAACTAGAAGCTTACTAAGAGATATCACATGCCATGATAAACTTGAAGTTTTCATTTGCCATTTTTAAATGAGGTATTTGAGAATTCTGATAAGCATATACTGAAGAACTAGAAGATTCTTCAAGAATTCTCTTGTGTTGCTTGTTCTCATAATAAATTGATTATACCAGCTAAAGTTGGGACTATAATCCCTGAATTCTGGAATATATAAAAGGTGAATATGAGCTTATTCACCTATCATGTGAACCACTTATAGATGCATATATGAGATGGTTACATGTGTGGTTATTGTCAACCTGCAGTTTGGCATTTGAAATTGCCTTTCTCAATTAAGAGCATAATTTTTAGATTATGAAATCAAGATAGTTCATCTTGATGATGCTGGTTTATATCCAAGCTAGTTTAGCATTGAATACCTCCTATTAATGGCTAAACTATTTCTTATGAGAACAAAGCCAATGAGTTGGTCTAAGATTTTCTAAATTGCATACAACAACACTTGTATGCATCAGACCAACAAAATGTGATAAGTCCTCCCCTCACAATTAGTTTAGGATCAGAAACTAAATATTTTTACTATCTAATAACTTTTAATGTGTGGTATATGATTAATTTCTCTACCACAATGCACAAATATAGATTTCCCAAGAAGATTAGGGATATGAATTAGTTTTTCTAACATTTGGGATGGAATAAACAGCTGAAAAACATGCTATATGAATCGAATCATTAATATGATCATCACTTAGAAGATAATTCAAGTCGAATGCCATAAACATTTGCTGATCTAAAATAAAATATCATATTTCAGCTGCAAATGCTCCTATTAAAATTAAAGCCCCTGAAGGATAGAGTTTACTGTACGCATGAAGCGTAGTAAACCGATCGGTTCCAAAGGTAACAATCCTTGAAAAATGATAGGAGCAAATGATCAAAATGATCAAAACGAGGAGAAAATGGGCTCTAGAAGAGCCCACGACATAACATTTCATGAAACTCCATAAGAAATTCAGGTACCTGAAAATAAAGAAAGTGATAAGATCTCAACAAGTTATGTCGCTTAGGAATCGATACAAAATGATCATCAATGATATATTTGATACAATATAGTTCACAATATTAATTGCAAAAGATTGTGAGGATCAGACATGTAGTCCAAACACTGAAAGATGTCATGCCATCTAAATGCAAGTCATATCCTATATGACTAATTTGAAATCAAATTTATATGAAGATCCCTGAAGGATTTAAAATGCTTGAAGCATATAATTCAAAGTATTGAGAAATGTATTCGATCATTACAAAGATCTTTGTATGATTTAAATCAATCTGGGCGCATGTGATATAATCGTCTCAGTGAATATTTACTGAAAGAAAGTTACATAGATGATGTTATTTGTCCATATATTTTTATAAAGAAAATGGCATCAGAATTTGTTATATTTGCTGTTTATGTTGATGACATAAATCTTGTTGGAACTCCTGAAGAGCTCCAAAAGGCAATTAAATATCTTAAGAAAGAATTTGAGATGAAAGATCTTGGTAAAATAAAATTTTGTCTTGGTCTGCAAATTGAATATTTAGCAGACGAGATCTTTATCCATCAATCTGCCTATATAGAAAGGGTCTTTAAACGCTTTTAAATGGACAAAGCGCACCCATTAAGTACACCAAATGGGTGTTTGATAACTTGAAATGAATAAGGATCCGTTCCGACCTCCAAAAGAGGATGAAAAACTCCTTGGTCCTAAAATACTTTATCTCAGTGCAATTGGTGAACTTATGTATCTTGCTAATGCTAACAAAGGTGGTGCAGATCGTATTGGTTATGCAGATACATGTTATTTATCCGATCCCCATAAAGCATGATCTCAAATCGGGTATGTGTTTACATGTGGAGGTATTATCATATCATGGCGCTTCATAAAGCAATATATTACTGCTACTTCTTCAAATCAAGCTGAGATAATAGCTATTCATGAAACAAGTAGGGAATGCGTATTGTTGAGATCAGTGATTCATTTTATTCGAGAAAAAATGTGGGTTGGAATGTGATAAAACAAAACTATAATATTATACGAAAATAATGCTACATGCATAGCCCAATTAAAGGGAGGATTCATAAAAGAAAATAAAACGAAACATATTTTACCAAAGTTATTCTTCACACATGATCTCGAGAAGAATGGTAATATCGTTGTACATCAAATCCGTTCAAGTGACAATCTATCAGATTTATTCACTAAATCTTTACCAACTTCAACTTTTGAGAAGATAGTATACAAGATTGGAATGCGGAGACTCAATATTTGAAACAAAGTTTTCATTAGAGGGAGTAAAATACGCATTGTACTCTTTTTCCTTTACTAAGGTTTTCCTCACATGGTTTTTCTTATAAGGTTTTTAATGAGACAGCTAGCAATGAGGCACATTATCTTTTAATGCACATCCAAGAGAGAATGTTATAAATATATTATATTATGGATGTTCATTTAGTACTCCGTTGTAAATAAGCTTCCTGAATAAGCTTATCTATGTGGGACTCCGCCATAAATATGTTTATCTATTTAGTACTCTATTGGAAATAAGCCTCCTGAAAAAACTTATCCTTTCGGTACTCCGTTATGGATAAATATTATCCCTGGTAGAAGATTATCTATATCTGGTATAATGAGCTTATCCTTTCGGTACTCCGTTATGGATAAATATTAACCCCGGTAAAAGATTATCTATATCTGGTACAATAGCAGCTTACAGGCAGCTTACACAGCAGCTTGCAGTAGCAGCTTACACGGCAGCTTCCTTTCTTCTATAAATAGAGGAGATTTCAGTTCATTATGTAGATAAGTTTGAAGTTGAATAAAAATATCAATCTCTCTCTATACTTGTCTTCGATTTATTTACTTTACAATTTTTATTTTATAACCAGGAAGACGAAATGAGAGAATGATTAATTTTTATCAATTACATGGAAAATTGTAAAAAAATATTTTCTACCAGTGTTTTGTAACACACTTCTCTCTAATAATTATAAGTGTTTTTCGTAAGTTAGTTCTTATGTGATTATAAGTTTTTTTTTGATTAAGTGAGTTCTTTGTATATTCGTCAAGTATAAAAAAGAACTAATAAAAAATGGACGTTATGTCTAATAACTAGCATATGACCTGGGATTTGTCTATATAACTAGATCAAATAATCATTCCACAATCTTTGGGAAAAATTTAATTTTTTTTCTCATTTGCCACTTCAAATATTTTAGTGAGAGAAATATTCTTGCCCTCCAAAATTTTTGTCGACATTCAAATTTCCTCCTCAACTTTAAATTATAGACTTTTATGCCTCCCTCGTATGTGAATATCTAAATATTGACCAACTATGAACGGAGAGTTCGTTATATGAACTTAAGTTTTATACTTTTGAATTTAAAAAAGAAAAGATAGAAAATTAAGAAACTGTTGAAACATACAAGTCAAAAATATATATACAACTACAACCACCTAAGGCCTAGATTAAGAAAGTTCAAGATGAATGGAGAATATTGAAAAATTAATTGTATAATAAGTCATTAGATGTTATTTAGTGACCTGCACATTTACTGATTTTCAATGGACATCAATTACAAACTTATAAATTGACATGCGCATTGATCTGCCATAAGTAATTGGTGGAATTTCTATCCTTACTTTCCCTACGGTCCTCCCTCCCCTCCCCCCCAACCTTAACTCCCTTAACTGCTGCTAAATATAAATCTATCTCCTTTAGTGACATGATCAGTTGTCAGTTTTTCCTGGAATAAGAGAAAATTTGTATGAATTAAATTTGTAGATGTGTCCCATCCGAATCCGATAAAAAGAAATTTCAAGTGTTCGATAGCAGAATTATGGCTAGAAGAACAAAATGACATGCTTTTACCATTCCCCACAAGAAAACATGATAAAAATAAAGTCAGAAATTGTTAAAATCAAAGGAAAATGAGAGAATTCAAACCAATTTAACAATATGAACCTAGAATGTTCGAGAGTGGGAGAGACGAAAGAGAGAAAATATTTTCCCCATTTTTCTTCTAGAGAGTGCTAATTAGAAATACTATTCAGTATTTTTCTTTTTGGGTACCCGAGTTCAAGAACCCTTATGTACATGAAAATACAGTAAATAAATAATTGGGCCTTATGACATGGGCATATACAAGAGAAATAAAACAATACTAAGAAACAATACTAAGTTGGGTCTTCATCTAGTCTAACACCCCCCTCAAGCCTTGGGGTGAAAGAACTCCCAGCTTGCATAGAAAATGGTTGTGATGAACACCAGATAAGGATTTGGTGAAGATGTCGGCTAGTTGAGAAGAGGTGGGGATGTAATGAAGAGCAATCAGACCATCCACAAGTTTTTCCCTAACAAAAATGGCAATCGAACTCAATGTGTTTGGTCCGTTCATGCTCCACAAGGTTCTTGGCAATGCATAGGGCAGCTTGATTGTCATAATAGATAGGAACAGGTTGAGACACATAGACACCAAGATCACCCAATAGTCGAACAAGCCAAGTCAATTTAGCAACAGTCTTCCACAAAACCCTATACTCAGCTTCTGCAGAGGACTGAGATACAGTAGGTAACTTCTTGGACTTCCAACATACAGGGCTACCACCTAATGTAACAAAGAAACCAGTAACAGATTTTCTGGAAGAGTAGCAGGTGGCCCAATCTGAATCAGAATAAGTTGTGAGAGAGAAGTCCACAAAGATATTGAACAAGATGCCCTTAGTAGGATCATTGTGCAGGTATCTAAGGACATGCAAAGCAACATGCATATGAGGATACCTAAGGGCATTCAAGAACTGACTAAGGTGTTGCACGAAAAAAGACAAATCAAGCCTAGTGTGCTGGAGAAAGTTGAGTTTTCCAACCAGTCTTCTGGAGAGAGAAGGGTCAGGAGGCATCTCCCTAGATATAGGAGTGAGCTTATAGTTCAGATCCAAAGGTGTCACAACATGAGTGCAGTCAGAACAATTAAATTCATCCAAGAGTTCCTTGGCAAACTTATGCTGCTTCACAATATAACCTTCAGCAACACTAGAAACTTCAAGCCCCAAAAAATAGTGAACATTACCAAGATCTTTGATCTTAAACTGAGCATCTAAGAAAGGTTTCAAAGATCCCATCTCCTCAGTGTCATCCCCAGCTAACAGTATATCATCCACATACACTGCAAGGATAACAGTAGAAGTGGCTGAAATTTTTGTGAAAAGGGAGTAATCATTAAGGCTGGACTGGTACCCTTTGGATAAGAGAGCAGTGGAGAGCTTGGCAAACCATTGTCTTGATGCATGTTTGAGACCATAAAGAGACTTTCTAAGCCTACAAACAAGAGGGGAACCATCAGGAGATGAACCAGATACAGACAAACCAAGAGGAACCTTCATATACACTTCTTCAGAGAGGTACCCACGCAAAAAAAATATTATTGACATCTAGTTAGTAAACAGTCCAGGACTTCTTGGTTGCAACAGCACGGAGGCATTTGATGGTTGTAAATTTGACAACTGGGGAGAATGTCTCACTATAATCAATCCCAGCATGTTGAGTGTCACCTCTAACAACAAGTCTTTCTTTGTATCTCTCAATAGTCCCATCGGACTTCTGTTTGATCTTATAGACCCATTTACATGGAATGGCCTTCTTACCAAGATGAAGAGGGAAAACATCCCAAGTCTGATTTGCCTCAAGAGCCTGAAACTCTTTTAGCATAGCTTCCTGCCAAGCAGGATTGGAGACAGCTTGCTGATAATGTTGGGGTTCATGCATGACAGAAAGGGCTGAAGACTGAGGAACAAAATTACAAACATAGTCCTGAAGGTGAACTAGAGGGTTATATGGTCTAGAGGACCTTCTAAGTGGAGGAGGAGGTGCATCAGAAGAACTAGAGGGGAATAGGGAGTTTGGAACAGAAATAGAAGGAGGAGAAGGGGAGGAACATGAAGGAATTGAAATATAATAATAAGTAAAAGATGTATCAGAAGAGGAAGGAAAGAAAGTAGAAGGAGAATATGTAGAAGGAAAGATGTGTTCAATAAAAGAGACATCCCTTGAGTATATGATAAACTTGTTGTGTAGGTGAAGGAGTTTGTACCCCTTTTCCCCAAAAGGATACCCCAAGAAAATGCAAGGTATAACTCTGGATTAGAGTTTGTCTCTATGAGGTATGGGAATAGAAGCATAGGCTAAACATCCAAAAGATCTCAAATATCATAAGAGGGTGGTTGACCATTCAAGACCTCATATGGAGTTTTGTGGGAAATAACAGTGGAAGGGAATCTGCTAACTAAATATGTAGTTGTGAGTATACATTCACCCCAATATTTGATAACTAATAAGGATTGAAACAAGAGGGCTCTAGTAGTTTCTAACAGGTGTTTGTATTTTCTTTCTACGACCCCATTTTGTTGTGGAGTATGAGAACAAGTGTTTTGATGAGAAATTCCCAAAGAACTAAGAAAATTAGCATGGGAAGAACAAGATCCCAACTCAAAAGCATTGTCTGTTCTAATGGTTTGAAAAATGCTATTGTAATAAGTAGAAACCATGGCTATAAATACTTTAATAATAGAAAAAGCATTGCCTTTGCATGAGAGGAGATGTGTCCAGGTGACTCTACTATAGTCATCTATAATGGTCAAAAAATATTTGAAACCATTGTAGGTGACAATATGGTAAGGGCCCCAAAGGTTAATATGAACAAGTTCAAAAGGCTTAGAGGAGTGTGTAGTACTAGCAAGGAATGGATTCCTTTATTGCCTAGCCATGGGGCAAATTGGACAAACAAAAGATTGTTTAGATGAAAATTTACAAGATAAATGTGGGATAGAAATCATTTTCACAAAAGGAACATGTCCATTATTTGATGACATTTATTAATGGAACTAAAATTACAAGAAGTAGAAAGAACTGAACTAGCATTAATAGGGAAATAGGGAACATGACTAATAACAGAATGAAGGGAACAATCACTAGATGTTAGATCAGAACAAGAAGTAGAAACAAAATCAGATTTTCTGGAAGGCATATGTATAATGTATAGACCATGCTCAACTCTACCAATTTCCAATGGCCTCTTTAGAGAAGGGCCCTATAGGAACAAGGAAATAGTTATGAGAATAGCATAGCAATTGAGTTGAGTGAGAAGTTGATGTATAGAAATTAAATTGAATTGAAAAGTAGGCACCAATAACATATTAGTTAGAGTGATAGTAGAAGATAGTGATAGACAACCTAGAGAAGTAACTTTAACTTTGTATCCATTTGGCAATGTAACAACAAGAGAAGGTGTGACTAATGGTTGTATATTGTAAAGTAGGTGCTTGTGAGAGGTCATGTGATTAGTGGCCCCCGAATCTAAAATCTAAGAGATTGAACCTATTTTAGAAGCACTAGATGCAAATGAACCATCAATATTAAAAATAATACTATTTACCAAACCTGCAAAATTGGCATAAGCAGTAGATGATGATGGTGTTGAAGTAGAAGATGAAAGTTGGGCCTGCTGAAGAAGTGACAGAATATGAGCATATTGCTCCTTCAAGAAACCATGTGGAGCATCACTAGCTTATTGAGAATAATGGAGATGAGGAGTCTCAGGAGTAGTATCCATATGTACAGAAGTTGCAACCCTCTTATTCTTAGTGAACTTAAAATCTGAGGGGAATCTATGAAGCTTGTAACACTTGTCTACTGTGTGCCCAGACTTCTTGCAGTATAGGATGGATTTCTTAGGATCAAAATTCACTCTTTGAGGATAATTTATGGAGTTGTTAAATTGATGGGGCACAATAGGAGGAGCATGAGAATTGGCTAAGAAGGAGGTTGAATCAGGAGAGAACATAGGGGAATCAGACTTGATCTCTCTCTGTTTTTCATCTCTGATCAACACAGAGTATGTCTTTGAAACTGGTGGTACTGGATTCATCATGAGGATATTGCTCCACACAGTAGAATATGTGTCATTCAATCCAGATAAAAATTGAATAAGTTGTTGTCCCTCAATGAACTAAGGCAAAGCACCACAAGTGCATGGCCTACCATAAGAGCAACTACCAATTTCATCCCAATAACCCTTCAACTTTCTAAAGTATGTAGCTATATCAGAAGATCCCTGTGTAGTGGCTGCTATGGCTCTTTGAACACTATAATATTGAGAGGTATTTGAAACACCATATCATTTTTCTAGGTTATCCCAAGCCTCCTTAGCAGTTTTGTAATATAACACAGTCTTGGATATCTCCTTAGATAGTGCATTCATAATCCAAGCTTTAACCATGTTATTATACCTCTCCTAATGAGGATAAAGTGCTGAGGTAGGTGCAGGTTTGGGCAAGGAACCATTGATAATTTGGAGTTTGTTTTTAGCCGAGAGTGAGATAATCATGCTCTCCTTCCACTCTCCATACCCTATCCCAGCAAAAGGAATAGAAACTAATATTGTACTCGGAGTATCAGAAGGATGAAGATATAACAGATGAAAAGAATCGAGGTTAGGGTTTGAATTTGTGTTTGAAAGTACAGGTATAATATGTGTTTCAGAATCAATAGCCATGATTATGAAATTATCATAAAGGAAAACAACAATTATATATCAGAATATGCAAAATGGGAGAAGAGATGTCACCAACTGTACGAGAAAACCCTAAAATCACATCGATGTCGCAAAAATGGAGATTTCAACCAAACTTTGCATCTGCAGCACAAATTATAGACGAAATTGACAACAATACTAAAAATCCGCTGCTCCGATGAACGAAATTACCGAAAAATGCAGAAATCGTCGGTGCAACGAAATTGCTCCAAACCAGAAATTCGTCCAGTAGAAACCTATTTACTGCCGCAATCCACCAGGTCCGCTCTGATACCATGTTAAAATTAAAGAAAAATGAGAGAATTCAAACCAATTTAACAATATGAACCCTAGAATGTTCGAGAGTGGGAGAGACGAAAGAGAGAAAATGGTTTTCCCATTTTTCTTCTAGAGAGTGCTAATTAGAAATACTATTCAGTATTTTTCGTTTTGGGTACCCGAGTCCAAGACCCCTTATTTACATGAAAATACAGTAAATAAATAATTGAACATTATGGCATGGGCATGTACAAGAGAAATAAAATAATACTAAAAAACAATGCTAAGTTGGGCCTTCATCTAGTCTAACAGAAATATACACTCACGCACTGACACATATATGTATATGTAAAATCCACGTGTAGTTATTATGACAATGGTGGGGGCAACAGTAGCCATCAAAAACTAAAAGCCTAAGAAGAAATATTGTTATCCTCTTTGTCAAAATCATTAGCAATAGAAAAGTGAGATCAATTAACTCCGATGTTAATTAAGAAAAATCAGAAGAAACAATTGAGCGCTAATTTTTTAAGTTAAAACAATGTCAAGCGAAATGGTAGAAAATTGACGGGTGGAGAGTAGTAATTAATATAGATAGAACAACAAAGAAGGATACTTATGTTTTAGGAAAAGATAAATATGTGAGTAGTAAATATTCAGTAATTCACACAAAAAAGGGAGCAAAGGTTCCGTTGTAACCAAGCACCGACCAAAAGCTTAAACTCTACATCTTCTTAATGAATACACTGAAAAGGAGAAGTGAAGAAGCAATATGAGTGGCTATAGAATAAGGAAAGAAATCTGGCAGGAAAAATCATTACCGAGAGCCTGTATTTTCCGACGGGATATGGTATTTGTCTGTTTGAACCTCTACTAAGACAAGTTTTTTTTACGTTTTGCATTGTTACATATCTGTAATTTGTAGTATATTTATAGGATTCTAGTGATTGGAAGATAATATAGGGGTTCTTTATCCTTCATATATGGTGCGGAGAAGGAAACGTTGCAACGTTCAAAGATACATAATACAAAGTGTTGTAACAGCAACACCAATTCTCTATTCATGTTTGATTATTATATTATATTATTGAACAGAAAATGAGGTAAAAACCCAAAAAATTGACAAAAAAGATAAATAGAGTTGATGGACATTGGAAGGTACCGCCACATTACCTTGCTAATTCCCAGCTCTTTATATATATATATATATATATATATATATATATATATATATATATATATATATATAGCATCAAATTCTCCCTNAGCCCAACCCTAAGCAATGGCTTCACCATCCACCCAAAGTTAGGGATATCCGATCTCTTGTAATTGTATACAGTCAAAACCGAGTTTTTCCTCGTGTGACTGATTGAGTTTGGGGCATGATGGACGAGGTTCGTCATTATGATATCAAGCTATGAAGTAAAGTCGGGCTGCTGAGGTCGAGACCCAGAGCCCCAGAGACCGATCAAATACCGAAACCATTGTCAAAGTCGAGCTCGAAAATTAAAGCTCGAGTCAATATCGAGCTCGAGA